TTTATTTCAAAACCCCCTTCCCCTCCCCCTTTTCTGATGAAGGGTCTAGGCCCGAAACGTCAGCCTCTCTGCTCCTATGATGCTGCTTGGCCTGCTGTGTTCATCCAGCCCTGCAACTTGTTGTCTCGGATTCTCCAGCATCTGCAGTTCCTACTATCTCAGATCCTATCCAGTGCCTCCTTCTCACTGGATACTGTCCAGTATCCCTGTCCCACCAGATCCTATCGAGCACCTCCTTCCCACTGGATACTATCCAGTGCCTCCTTCCCATTGGATATTATCTAGCACTCCTTCTCACTGAATACTATCCTGCATTCCTGTCCCAACTGATCCTATCAAGCACCTCCTTCCCGCTTGATCCTATCCAGTTCCCTCTTCCCACCAGAATCTATCCAGCACATCTTTTCCACTGGATCCTATCCAGTACCCGCTTTTCACTGGATCCAATCCAGTGCATCCTTCCCACTGGATCATTTCCAGCACCTTTTTCTCACCGGATCCTATCCAGTGCCTGCTTTTCACTGGATCCTATCCAGCATCGCCTTCCCACTTGATTCTATCCAGCACTCACTTCCCACAGGATCCTACCCAGCGACACCTTTCCACCGGATCCTAACCAGTGCCCCTCACTCACTGGATCCTATCCAGCCAGATCCTATCCCACCAGATCCTATCCAGCACCTCCTTCTCACTGAATACTATCCTGCGTCCCTGTCTCACCTGATCCTATCAAACACCTCCTTCCCATTGGATCCTATCCAGTGCCCTCCCCACCAGATCCTATCCGGCACCTCCTTCCCACTGGATCCTATCCAGTGGCCCCCTTCCCACTTGATCCTATCCAGCACCTCATAACCACTGGTTCCCATCCAGCACCTCCTTCCCACTGGATCCTATCCCAGTGCCTCCTTCCCACTGGATCATTTCCAGCACCTCCTTCCAACAGAATCCCATCCAGTGACCACTTTTCACTGGATCATATCTAGCACTTCCTTCCCACTGGATCCCATGCAGCACTATCTTCCCAGTGGATCCTAGCCAGTGCCTCCTCCCCACTGGATTCTATCCAGCACCCCCTCCCACTTGATCCTATCCAGCACTCACTTCCCACCGTATCCTACCCAGTGACCCCTTCCCACTGGATCTTAACCAGTCTCCCTTGCCCACTGGATCCTATCCAGCACCCCCTTCCCACTTGATCCTGTCCAGCACTCACTTCCCACTGTATCCTACCCAGTGCATCTTTCCCACCAGATCCTATCCAGCTCATCCTTCCCACTGGATCCTACCCAGCTTCTCCTTCCAACCAGATTCTATCCAGTGCTTCCTTCCCACCGGATCCTATCCAGTATATCCCTCACACCAGATCCTATCCAGCACCTCCTTCCCACTGGATCCTATCCAGCTCTTCCTTCCCGCTGGATCCTACCCAGCGCCCCGTCCCCACTGGATCCTATTCCATTCTGTCCACGCCGTTATTTTCCTGGACCACAGGTTGAGACCTCACGCGTCCTTCTGACCAATCACAATGTTGACCGTCCATCCCCTTAAACGTGATTGGCTTCTTCCGTATAACCCGGAAATAAAGGTCCAATGAAATCATCGTTTACGCAGCGGTGCTGCTGATTGGCTGATCGCTCCCACTGAGCCCGATCCCCGGTTTCCGCTCCACCCTCCCCCCCCACCTGAACCTGCCACTACCCCCGGATCCCCCCCACCCCACCCCAGGAGCAGCTAAAGCCGCTTTCGAGCCGGAGCCGAGCCCCTTGGAGCAACCACGTGTACCCGCAGGGAGAGGACAGGAGCCGGGGTAAGAGGCGGGAGCCACTCCCTCCATCAGGGAAACAGTGTAACTATTGGGGTTCAGGGTCTCTCACC